GGGTCTATCGCTGTACTCTATCTATTTTCCTCGTCTTCCTCATGTCATTCATACCTTTGACTGTACAAGGACTTATAGAGAACGATCCATGGCGGGCAGCCGTCAGATTTATCAAGCACGTCTTCTCGCTGTCTCCCCTCTTCGAAGTCTTCGTCTGTCAAGTATATTCTAGTTCTTTACAACAAAATCTCTCCTTTGGAGGGGCTCGATATATTGGAACTGGTCGCGGGTTTGCCACAGCTCGCATTCCATTCGGCGTGCTTTACGCACGCTTTGCTGGACCATCCATCTATCTCGGTGCACGCCTACTAATGCTAATACTTTTCGCGACCCTTACTGTTTGGCAACCGGCTCTTGTTTGGTTTTGGGTAACCACCACCGGGCTCATATTCTCACCATTTCTCTATAATCCTCATCAATTTGCGTGGGACGATTTCTTTATCGATTATCGAGAATATCTTCGATGGCTGTTTCGGGGGCACTCGAGGTTTCACGGATCATCGTGGATCACGTTCTGTCGCCTATCCCGAATTCAAGTAACTGGACTAAAACGCAAGAGTTTAGGCGACTCATCAACACCTATATGTACAGATGCCTCTCGTCCTACTATCACCAATCTTATATTCAGCGAGATCATCATGCCGATGCTGACAGTGGTCGCGACCATGATACCGTATCTCTACATCAATTCACAAACGGGGGTACTCTCGGCCAACAATAATAATGTCAAAATCGAACCCACTGATGCATTGATCCGCGTTTTGGCCATAGGATTTGCACCAGTCGCCATTAATACTGGAACAGTCGCCGTCATGCTGTGTCTTTCCTGTCTCTCGGGCCCTCTTCTGGGTCTTTGTTGTCGGAACTTCGGCAGCGTACTTGCCTCCACAGCATATTCAATCTCAGTAGTGGCACTGATCCTGTCGTTTGAGGTTATGCTCTTCCTCGAAGGGTTTCAGTTCACTCGAGCACTAGCTGGCATGATCGTTGTCACTTCGCTACAAATTTTCTTGTCCAAGTTGCTTATAGCAACCACCTTAACCCGGGAGAACAAAACCGCAACAGCTAGTACTGCCTTTTGGACAGGACGATGGTATTCATTAGGACGATACTCTGTCACTCAGCCATTTCGAGAGTTCATTTGTAAAATTACCGAGTTAAACATGTTCGCAGCCGACTTCATACTTGGCCATTTGATCCTCTTTACCATGTTACCCGTGGTTCTGGTCCCGAAGATCGACAAAGCACACACGACTATGCTATTTTGGCTTTTACCAAGGTATATATAACCCTTCACTTTAAAACGAGATGCTAACAGCTATAGTAGTCGTCAAATACGCAAGACAATATACTCAATGAAGCAATCAAAGCTGCGGCGGCGTCGCGTTATTCGTTACGCCGTTGCGTATTTCCTCATGTTCTCCGTGTTCATCGGTCTTATTGTGGCTCCTCTCGTCGCGGGAAAATACGTGCCGGGAAGCGTGAAAGATATTTTTTCAGACCTGGCAGGTTTTCATCTGTTACAACCATACGGCCAAAACAACAACAATACAAATGGGACTCAGCAAACCGGCACGGGGATGCCTGGGTACTCTGGAGCAGGATTGAAATCCACAACCTCCACAGCAGTAGTGACAGCGACAGGGGCCAGCAGTGTCAAGTTATTTTAGTCGTGGGGTTAGAGGTGTGCCTTGAGATTTGTGTACTTCTCAGACCTCTGATCGGGACCGGAAAATTCACAATCCGCTCCGTTTGTCAGGTCCTTGTACATTACAGTCTGCTCTGATCAGGGTTGTTAGGCAGCCTTTGCCAAGACTCGACATAGATCTCAGCAAGCAGGGGCTAGCAAGATATATTTGCTTTAGCCCTGGGCATAGTATTGAACTGCTCAACGATGTATTAATCATACTATAGCAGATAATGGTATTCATTTGGGAAATTTATAAGGCTTTTATTAGAAATTTCTCTCTATCGACTCCTCTTGAGAAAGAATTGCTGAGTGCTGACTCTACCCTTGCAAATACTGACGGTGTAAAGCAATCGCTAAATTTGTACAAAGCAGACTATGATAAGTATGATGAGTGCGGCTAAAGTATGTTTTGTGCGATTTCCTCTAAGAGATGCTTCCTGTCGAGCTTTGGGCACTCGCGTTTGATTGTACATGCACAACTCAAGTCTCCGCCTCATCGATGACGACTTTTTGGTCCTAAAAATAATACCTGAATGCCCCCCGACACCGCCTGCTCGAATCGGCGAAACCGAGACCGAGACCGACGTGTTGACTCTCTTCATATAGGTCGAACATGATCTGTTTCTACAAGCCTTGCATCTGATGCTTTCGACATTGATCTCCATCATCGGACATACAATTACAACTTAGTGCGGAGTCATGAGAGACGACACAGGCCTGAAGTGTCTTCAGTGGCTTATTCGAGGAATCCAACTGGGCTGCAGTCTTCTACTCCTGGCAGTCTATTCCTATTTCTTAGCGACATTGGCCGCACATGGCTTTCACATTAGCACTGGCATCTGGGCTGTCGAGGGAATCGCTGGAAGTGCGGTCTTATATACGCTCCTGGGCGTGTTGTTGGTTTGTTGCATTGGTGGTGTCCCCTTGGCATCTATTATAGCTATGGTGTTAGACGTGGCCTTCATAGCTGCGTTCATTTACGGTGCTATTGCTAACAAGAACGGTGCTGGCGCCTGCCATGGAGAGGTTGATACACCTTACGGCCATGGTTTAGCCCATAACAAAGTTAAGGGAAAGAAGCGAGGTTCTCTAGCGTTGCCAACATACGGAGTGGCGTGCAAGCTGCACAAAGCATGCTTGGCTGCTGCTATTATTGCCATGTGCGTATTTGCTGTGCTGTATCGGGGCGGATCCCTGATGAGACAACGAACCGACTAATGCTGCCAGAATCTTCTTCGTCGTCTCAATAGTCATTGGCATCAGTCTTTCTCGATTTCATTATCAGAAGAAAAGAGATGACAATAAGCATTATGGATACGGGTATGCAGAGAGGGGTTTGTTTCTGCAGCCTTCCCATGTCGATTCACTAGACACAAACCGCGATGATCTCCCTAATCACATTTCACCAAGCGAAGTCAGTACATCTCCGAGGCAGTCAGTCGATAGAAGCGATGGAATATATGATGATTTTCGACCTGGGATGGATCCAGCTGTCCATGACCAGACTGTTGGATACAGAGACCATAATAATACGCCGCCTTATCCAATCTAAAGTGTAATTACTTAGCGGAATATTAGACGGAATGAATTCTTGATATGGCGGTCATTTAGCCCTTACTCCATCTTACGACGTTGTAAAGTAATGAGAGGCGTGGCAAAAGATCAAATCAGTCATTTATGGTACTCAATTCCTTGGCTAGATTAGCTGCAGTAAGCAGCTCAGTGAGCTGGAGGTAGAAGCCATGAACGCGAACTTACTATAGTCTACTAAATAACATAAAAATATGTATATCGAGACAGAAGTGATGTTAGTTTGATATGGATAATTGGACTTTTGAGTTAGGTTCAGATAATCTAAGTTGCGACAGCTCCCCACTCATGTTGGATACCCTAGTACATGATTTCTTGCCAATATTTCAACTGGCTTAGTTGGCACCTATCTTTGCAAAGTCAAAGTCGCCAGCCCATGCCCGCAGCATGTCATCTGGTGATGTTTGTAACCATATATCACTAGGGACTTTGTCAAGGCGTGGCATACCAGACATGACAACATATAGGAGACCCTCTGTTGGAGTTTGAACATCAAGTTGGGGTTGGGTGCCAATGATGGTCGACGTAGGTACAGGAATTTACCAGGAGATGTGCTAGGGAGCTACTCGGACCCATCAATAGACACAAGGTCTAGATTAGACCAGAAGCTCGGCGTATTGAAGGTTGTAAGAGAGATGCGTTCTGCGGAGATTCTGATGCGGGCCGCAATTTTCTCCGGACGGAAAAGACGAAGCCTACCGTCATAGCCTCGGTAGACCTACATCCCTTCGAAACACTGCGTGGCATAGTGCGAGCCCGATGCGGTAGGCATGAAGGACCCAATCGCCTTCCGCGGTACTGTTCGCGAGAACCTAGATCCCGAAGGGATCTTCGACACCTCAGATCTGCTTCGCGCTTTACAGGATAGCTACTTCGCGCATAGTTTCTCAAATGCGCATGAAGCCCTTGATTTCATGCTGGTTGACAGAGGGTGGGCACTCGAAGTCGATTGTCTCGTCCCAAGCTAATGCGCATCTCTCAGCTCTAATCTGTCGGGTGGCCAACTGCAATTACTAGCCATTGCCCGCTGCTTACTCCATAACTCAAAGATCTTGGTACTGGATGAAGGTAAATCAACTGAGTCTCACGTCAGATATGCGGCATTGAGCTGACTCTCCATCGCAGCAACTGCATCCGTCGACCAGGGAACAGAAGAACTCATTGTCCGTGCTATCCGGGAGCATTTTCAAGACCGAACTGTGATCACAATAGCTCATCGTCTACAAACGATCGTAAGTGCTACCAGTTTGTCGGGCAGCATAGTAGCAAGCACTAACCACTGTCTAGATGGATAACGATCATATTGTTGTGATGCATAAAGGCGAGATCGTGGAGCACGGCTCACCGAGAGAATTATATGAGCATGGTCGAGTGTTCAAGGAGCTTGTTGATGAATCTGGCTTGTCTGCTATGATAAGAAGCTAGATAGATCATCGGCAATGGATGCTGTGCACTCGGGTCTCGAGAACATGCCTATGATCAAGTCATCACGAAGTGATAATCCGGTTGAATACGTTTTATTATGACATCTCTCGTTTTGCTGATGACTATTTTGCATTATCTTTATAAACCGTCTTCTTTCCCCTTTATATCCCTTCGTTTACCTGGATGCTTATATAACTTTTGATTTCCATGTAAATTGTAAGCTCGCTATGCAGTAAATGCTCCAAATTTCGTGTACGTGGCTTCGTAGAATGCGATAACGGTAAAACAGGGCTTTTCATACTGTTTGGGTGGTGATCTGCGGTACCGCTCCATACTCTGCGGTCTCCTCGCGAATAAGGGGCACTCTTTCCGGTGGTGCACTTTCTTCTTTCAACTCTTCCTTATACTCCCTCGTCTGGATAGCCACAAATGCCGTCAGTATTAGGCCGAGAATGGTCCCTGCAATAGCCATGGCGATATTGATCGGTGTCGGGTCGCCGTGAAGCGGGCCGTGAGTGAGCGCATCGAGCCCCGACTGCACAAAGTTGACTAGGCCAGAGAGACAGATTATCATGCCGTACACGCGGCCGAAGGTAGCAAAGCCGAAGACTTTCGTGGCATAATCACTACGAGTGAGTATCGTCAGCCTGGTTGTTTGCACGTTGACCCGTCCCGGAGAACTTACGACATGGCGGAGTAATAAAGGGGTCTGAACAAGACAAAGGCAACAACAGTCGCGTAGCCAGCCCATAAGAACGGCAAGCAGTTCAGGACGCCTATAATGATGATAAATACCGTTAGGACTCCAAGTGCTGTGGCAACACTGAGGTTATTCAAGAGAACACCAATGAAAGGCGTAGCAACAACACCGCCAATGGGCAGGGCAGCATCAAAAAAGTGATTAATATCCTCGGCGTACTCTTCAGACCCGAGCATGAAGCGGTATTGGGACCTAATCGTAGCAATGAAGTAGTTCATCCTCAGCATCTGCAGCACGGTGAGGAGCACAATAAGAATGAACCAGGGCGTCAGCATCTGCCGATGAGCAGGAAGGCCATGCAATACACCCCAGACACCGCTTACGACCAGGCGTTTCTCCTCCTGCTCGGCGCGCTCTTCGCGCTCTTCGGCATCACCGAGGAGTTCCTCGATCTGGTCAAGCCTGGCTTGACGACGTAGGGCACGATTACTCCGCACGCGGCGGAGTTCCCCATCGCTAGATATCTCATCATCGGATACATGCACATCCCGCATGGGGTCTTGGGCCTTCGCGATTTTCTGCTCCAGCTGCGGCGTGCTATGGTAAGCGTCTCGGGGCATGAAGGTCCACTCTGCAATGAAGATTACCACTGGGATGATGAGATAGCCAAAGAAGAACTGAGAAGGTGTGAACGTCGCCCCTGAGGCATCCCACGCCATGCGGTAGAACAAGAAGACGGCGGCCGACGCGTCGAATGCCCCCGTGACCATGGCCACCACGAGCCCCGAGTGCCTGGGGAACGCATTGGCAAGCTGGAAGCTGGGGACAAAGATGAAAGTGCCGCCGAGGCCAAGGAAGACGTTGCCCACAAGGTATCCATCAAATTCAGGGATGGCGAACGCGTACCCCATCAAGATGCATCCTGCGGCGAGGAAGACCGACGACGCGAGGTAGCACACACGTCTGCCATAGCGATCCAGTATCGCGCCGGCAAACAGAGACGACACATTGGTCGTGATCGAACCAACGATGAAGAACAAGTTCAGGCGCATATCCTGCTCTGGACACGGGACATCCGGGTCATCGTCAAACAAGCGAGCCGCGCGAGAAATCTCCTCGCCGTCCCCCGCACTCGGACACAGCTCGCCGTACACGCCCTCGGCAATGAGCACTGGCTTCAGCGAGGCGAATCCAAAGACGATGCCAGAGGCAAAGCAACATGCGAGAATGGCAAAGGCAACCTGGGCTATTGGGGCGGGCGTCAGCAATTGCTCTTCATTGGCTCAAGATTCGCGGGGTGTAGTGGTGGTGCCAATCATGCGTACCAGCGCGTCGTATGGCGGAGACCTTGTAAGCAGCGAGATTCGGCGTGGGATCCTGGGCTACGAGAGCGAGCGGCTCGACGGGCGCGAAGGCATCGTAGCTCAGCCTTCGCCAGGCAGATCTGCTGGCCGAGTCGTCGTCATGGTGTTGCTCTTCGCGGTCTACACCTTCGATGGGTGTAGCGTGCCGAGCGAGAGACATCGACGGCCAGCAGGTGGCTCAATGGTGATTCCTTTCGACAGACTCACGAGGAGAGAAGAGCAAGTAGAGATGAGGGCTATTGTCCGAGTCGAACCTCGAGGTCGTGACTGACCGCTCAATTAGAGAAGCGCGTTTCATCAACAGGAAATTAAGCAAAACCTGGCGGGGCAAGTGTGAAGCGCTATGACGATGCTACTGTTAGTGGCGTGACTGCACATCCTAGCCAAGCCAGGCTGATCGAGTTAGTAAGTATACAGATCTATTGCGTATATTCGGCATAGATAACGTAACGAGAAGATCATACTGTAATTCAGAGTCACTATCATGAGATTCTTGCCCCTGTCTGTTCTGTCTCAAGATAGAGTATACGTGCATACATAATTCATGTCGGTCGTTAGCGTTTTAAGCCGAGACCTGCCAGTGCGGAGACATGCTACTTATACTTGTAGGGTGGGGTATCACTTTTCGCCTACCATACCGGCTATACATCCATGTAAGTAGCCAACCCAGCAAATTGTGATCAAAATCTGCGGACTGTTGCTGCTAAGACGAGTCGTCGGGTAACAAGGCTACCTGGTTATAGAGAAAATGATGCAATTGCGGCATCTTAGAATGCAGTGTGCGCTGAGTGGGTAGTTTTGTAACTAAACCTACAGGCCACATGTACTTTGGAAACAAGCTTGATAAAGCCACTCAAAATGATAGTAAAGTACGACAAAACAATACGAAACAATACAAAACAATACAAAAGCGAGCGTCTTGTTGAGGAAACCACCTACTCACTTCGAACCACGCTCCTGCGCTACTCCGACCAACCACACGGTACGTCAGAGTTGCATTGCTTCGATGCACTCATCACCTTCATTTAGGTTTAGGTCGACACACAGCACAGTCATTCCACGCCAACCCCTCCATGTCAAGGTAGAAGATGAAGCCGTGCGTTCTCTCATCGAGTATTCTTCTCGCGCCTTCTTTTGCATCTGCAAGGGTGCAGCCATGTGCCTCTTGTAGGTGACAGACAAGTCCCATTTCTGAGAATTCAGAAAATGATTCACGGGAGCTAGGTTCCCGGCAAGACCCCAGAGCACAGCCATACCGTCCGTGTTTCTCTCTCTGGTGGTGGTCTCTTCCTCCATTCATGAACTCTCCGCAATGCTGCTTAGGGCATGGCAGCGATCCGTGCTGGCTTCTGGTGTGGTCCCGAAGTTTGTCCTTTCGTGCAAATCCAATGGAATGGGAAGGGCACTGGGGATCTGGGCATTTCCAGGGCCTGTCCTCAAGGCCACGGTGCTTGGTTTTTTGGTGACGCTTTAGGTCGTCGCGCCGGCCAAAAGGCTTTCGGTGAATGCAGCCAGGGAAATTACACACCAGAGGCTGGAGGTGGATGTTGACCATGTGCTCCTTAAGCTTCGAAGCCTCCTTGAACACTGTCTTGCTTGTGCAGCCTCTGTGCTGGCACCGTTGTGCTCCAGACCAACCAGACCAATCATCTGTCATTGTGGATGAACTGTGCATCCCCCCGTCGCCGCCCTGTTAGCGCAGGTCTAAAAAAAAAACACTCACGGCAACTGGCTGCCGTTGAGATCCGCAAGTGGGGCGGCTGAATCCAGTAACAGCAGTGGAGGGGTAGCGTTAACTGAAGCCGCCTCAAACAAGGCAGCACCTTGGTGGTCGGGCTGCAAGTCCCAATCTTGCTCACCACCGTCCACAGCAACTGAAGCAGCTATGTCGTCCTCGTCGATGTCGATGTCGTTGTCGCCTGGAAACTGGCGCAGAAGGCAGTCCGGGGGAGAGCCGGCCTCGTGTAAGAACTGGTCGAAGCAGTAATAATCAGGCGACATGTCGGCGCACGGAGAAGATGTCTTGTAGAAGTAGAAGTGAAGATGCTGTTGTCTCAATTTCTCAGTCGAGAGGGGCGATAACACTCCAGGACGCTCTCTTTCATTCGCATGGAGGTGTTTTGAGTAAGTTTGACATGATCGATCAAGAGAATGATTCAAGCCCGGACAAGCCTTGGTAGTTGTTGAAGTTGAGAAGAAGAGAGGGCGGGTGACAGCGCACTAAAAGGGCGTGTTGACCTGTGCTTTGAGGATTGGGCACCTTTCTCTCCCATGGTCCTCCAATCGCCTTTCCTTGTGGCGTTCTCTTGCGTGTCCGTTATTATTTCGTTTTGCCCGAGATGTAAGCCACTTCGACCTTCGCTCTGACCTGTTGGCGACTCGGAAAGCAATCGTTGCGCATGGGTGACCTGTAACCAGCTGGACGCGTAAATCGGCCTGACAACCGAGTCCGTGATGGCCACCGCCGTATGCTTGAACTTGAACGTGGCTCACACATTCGAAAATTTTAGAATCTCGCTATGAGTCAAATGGACCAATCTGCTTAAAGCGCACAAGTTTCGAAGAGAACTGCCTGGAAACCATGTCGGTGGAGGACAAGGCTCCTCGCTATGCTCGTGCAGCCTCAGTGTGCTATCTTCCAGCGCCGTCACCTCAGCGATAAAGAGCGAATCTTAGATACCTCACGTCTCGGAAACCCAGTACAATACGATCATCATGGCACATTATTCTCCATACTTGGCCGTGTGTCTTATCACTGTTTGAAGACATTGAGGCCTTTTGCTTACTCTTGCACTGTTCTTTATCTAAATTTCCCACGGGTATTAACATTTGTCTGGCTATGTCGTCGAAAGAACCGGCACTGGTCAGGCTATCAAGCTATTCTCTAAAGTTGGGCCTCCTACGCCGCACTGCTAGTTTCAATGCCTTCATGTCGAGTTGGGTCATCTCATAGACTGGGTGATTTTCAGGGATCTGAGCTTTGTGTTATCTGCAAATGTGGTTGCTCACCCCAGATACTCGGGCTTTTGATCCTATCAAATTCTAGACTTGCGGCAAGGCTCCGGGCCCCGAGCTCCGCTCCCGTAGTTCCTACAATCGATCCCAGATCTTGTCATTCATCGCCCATGATGAATCTATCCCGTTTCAAGCCAGAACAAGAACAGAATCATTCATGCCGGTCATGAGAAACACCGTGCCTCGTCGCCGGAATGGCCTCTTAGAGGCATGCGAGTAAGTTAGCTCGTCGGAGCTCAATTTTCCTGCCTGGCCAATGTTGTAGTACTTTGCCCAGCGCCACATCCCTCATGGCCCCTTTTCCCAACAACGTGCTCAGGTAAAGACTGACGTCTACTCCGCAATCACAAGGCCGTGCCGAAAAAGAAAACTCGCCTGCGACAACACGCTACCTACGTGCAGTCGGTGTGTTCGCCGTAACATTGCATCGAGTTGCGTGTACAACGGCGCCGGCATTACGCAGACCGTTCGTGCTCCCAATGAAGTGAGCCACACAGCACCCGATTCCAACACGCCGCCCAGTTCCCAAGCACCGGCACCCAGTGGAGATACCCCAACCTCGAGAGCGTCTGATTCAGCACCAACACCAGACCCTCTGTTTGGAGGCTCTTCGGGCTTCCTTGGGCCAACCAGCTTCTCAGTAGTATTCCAAGAGAATAGAAGCCGACTGCTTATTCCTGAATCCGGATTAGCGAATGCGCCATGTCCGAGCAGGAGCGATGTTGTTGATGGAGAGACTGTGCGTCTCGGGCCAAGAGTTCTGGCCCAATTGCCAAGCCAAACACCTGCGCTACGTTATACGCGCGGTGTAATCGGACTAACACGACGTTGGGAGATCTGGGACTGGAGCATCACTGTGGGCAACATTTGGCCAGCAGATATCGTCAAGCAACCGGAGAGAAAATAGTCTTGAGCACGTTTCCCGACTTGTATCACAGAGCTCTTTGATATCTCTCGAGATGGGCGAGAACTTCAAGGACTGCTTGAACGTCATTATGGGTCCTCGCTTGCGATGGGAAGTCATTGGCATCTTGTTCACAGTTTGGGCATTTGGTTCCCTGTCCTCCCCTGACGACGATGAAATATTTGGAAAGCAAGAAGAAGCTAGAGGAGATCGCATGAAGTTTGCGGCAGAAATGGCGAAATTGACTGCATCATGTGCCGACCTGTCGGAGCGGATGCGCCTAGTCAACGTGCTCAGCGTATTCTTGAGCTACCATTCCTGCATTTTGGAGACAGTGATCAACGGCGATTCTAGTAAGGCATACTTCCCCTTTGATACCAATCCCTTCTGTTGTTTGAATTAGTTCTAAACATCATGAACGTACAGGCGTGACGGCTTGGAGGATGCATCAAGACATGATTGCACTGACTACATTTTCGGGCATCCATCGGGATACGGATGCTAGCAGCGATAAAATCACGTTCGCGTCCCGTCTTCAGCGTAGAATGTTCGCAAAGGCCTACGACTTTGACAAACAGCTGGCGACATTCATTGGCCGGCCTCCAGGGTTGAGCTGGCGGCATACCTCATGCCCCCTACCCCTTGATGTCAGCGACGATGTTCTCATTGCCGGCGGCCATGACTTACAGCAGGCTGTCTCTGACTTAGACATCAATGGGTGGAACACGGATGGCCACTGCTATTCCGCGACGCGAATCCGTGCTTATTTCTTGCTGGCCCAGATCCGCGATGAGATCCTGGAAATCGCCTTGAACTCTGCTGCTGTTGACATGTTGCCCCGTATTAAGTGAGAACAATCCATTTGTCTGTGGCCTCTATGCTCACTCAACTGACCTCATCTGAAGCGAACTCAAGACTCGTTCGGACACTATGCATGGCCGGTTCCCGCGAGGCATTATCTGTGGCACGAGGAAGCGTTCACTATTTTCAATAGTGAGGGCTCGACCTCGTCACTACCAATCGTGTCGCTCCTACGCCTCGCGCTCGATCATTTGCAAAATCACTTTTTGCTGGAGCGTCTAGCTTTGAAATGGGGCCAAACTGACACACATGCTCTTGTTGACATTTCGCGCGAAATCCTGCAGCTGACCATCATCCTTTGGACTCAGCGCGATCGTTTCCAAGCCAAGCGCTACAACCTCGAATGGATGGTTTGCTGTACCTTCTGACTTCCTTCCCTGCTGCTACGGCTGACTCTTCGCTCTTTTCTTTAGGCCATGTTTACGGAGCGCCGGCTTCCGGGATCTTTTGTGTCGAGCTTCTCAAGCGCCGCTCGAGCGCCCCAACTCTTCCCCGGTCTGAGATTATCCAGAATCTCTCGCTCTTCGCTGCCTACTTGGGATGGGTTCGGCCTTCCGCACCAAATGCTGATCTCTGTCGTGCCATCAAGGGCATCATAGGCCGTGTGTTGGACCAGGTCCTCAATGATACAAACGAAAGAGACAACTTGAATGATATCGACGCATTGAACAATTGGGACGTCGACATGTCGCTGTGGAATGATGTCGGTAGCTTAGATCTTCTGGATACATATGATTACTTTCGTGCATCATCGTGGCTTGTGACAGATTGAGAGCTACTTGGGCGGATATTGTGGCAGCCGCGATAATCGACGCGCGAAAATTCAACTAGCTGTACTATCAAAATAGCCTTCTTTCGCTTGCATAGACACGAAGAATCTTCTAGTCGCTTGTCATCTAAATCCTTCCATTTCTAATTTGTTTGCTCTCAGAAAGCTTGCCTTCACATAAGCGAGAGCGAAGCCTGACCGTTCAATATTGCGAGCGCTACCCGTTCCAGGGCGCACCCCAACAGATGCAAGATCAAACCCAGCTCTTCTGGCGTCTGATAACCGTGCCCGTATCAGTGCTGATTGAATGCCCCGTCCCCGGTATTCAGGCACGGTACTGTCGATGTAGAAATGGGCGACCTTCCCTGTCGACGTCTTAATCTTGGCCATGCCTCCTGAGCCTGCAATCTTCCCATCGATCATCGCAAAGTAAAGGGTTGTATCTGAGCGTGATGTTGCAATGCGTGCCAGTGTCTCTAATAGTAGTTCGGGCCGTCCATTATCCTTGAATCCCGCAACTGAACAACGTATGAACTCATCAAAGCTCTCAGAAGAAACGCGGGTTATCTCAATCCCGGGAACTACTTGATCTTGCAAATCATTGTCGGTGAGAATGCGCACATAGTTGTTGAGCCAACCATTCGCAGCATACCCATTGGAAGCCAAGACTTGCAACGCCGTGGGATGAGCATGTGAGCAAAGGTCAATCTCAGCCGACACATTTTTGTCCGAATACAGACCCTCGATGGTGACGAGATCTTGGGTGCTGACAGATCCGCCCATGCCAAATCCAACAACATGATTGAGCTTTCGTCCGAACAATGGGAGAGTCACTGCCGCTACTCCATGGTCGATGCGGTGCGCCAGAACGTCGTGCTGTGGGAAGATTTCACGACAGATCTCAACTTGCCGAGTCAGATGAATCACATCTACCTCCTCTAGCCTCTCGGCTATTTCAGTTGTCGTGAGTAGCACCATCGTTTACTTGAGACTTGCGAGAACGTTACTCGGGCGCTCAGAGGTCTGCTTTGCATTCAATGAGAAAGAGCGGAGCTCGGGTGCCAGCACGCACTAGTGTGAGTCACCGCAGAGTAAAGTCAAGGAAGGAGTTCAGCCGGCATCGGAATGAGCAAGGTCAAGTGAAAATTCATGAAGACACAACACGGCCCTGGTCAATATTTACGGAATTTTTGTCGAAAAGAGGCAGGGCAATTGGCGCGTGATTCTATCAAGAGATAGACGTGAATCGAAGAATGCATGGTGGAAGTCTAAATATGGTGGATGGCGGAGATCGGAGCTCTGCTATGTCACTCTAGCGGCTATCAGCAGCCAAGGGCGCACACTCATGAGGAAGCCCGAAGAACACGAATGACTTCGAAGGCAATACTACAATTGTACCAATTTTGTAGTACGCCGAGGTAGCGCTGTCTGCAAATCCGTCTAGATGGCAAGTATCTTGATCTTTACTGTTTTGCTTTTTTCATCGACAGCCTCAAGGAGTAGCAGGCATCAGTGCAATCGATCAGCGTGAAATGGTAGTATGGCATGGCGATGACGCACAGAAATTATTTAAGTATCCAGCATCTCGTAATCCTTATGATATAATTGAGACACAAAAGACAATATAGAAGAACTATAGTGGCTTGTCGAGGTAGAGATTGATGGAAATTTCGTGGTTAATTTGTGGCTTTGACTCACGTATGATTCTCTTAGGTAGAATCTGAGTTTTTATCTACCACACCTTGACCACCATTGGTACTGCCAATAGGTATTAGTGTGGGGATCCGAATGGAGCCTCGAGAGATGTTAGCACTGACCGTGTCTGGCTTCTGTTTTAACATTGGCGTGTGGTGTGGCGCCATATGCGTTACCCATGATGACACCCCGATTCCCAGAGATAGCTCCACGATACTCTGTTCGCTCTTGGACAATATATGACTGAAACTGATTTCAGTTAGACAAAAATTACTAGGTCTCGCATCACTAACCTCTGTTCCTGGAGTCATATGCTTTGTCTCTATATCTGCAATCCATTGTCTGAGACTTCCGGATATCTTCTGATATCCTTCCCGATCTTCGTCTTGAAGCTTACACAGCCCACTATGGGTTGCGTCAAGAGGTATATAGTCCAGCCCTCGAAGTGTGGCCGAGGATTTCTCTACGATATTTCCAATCTTTGTTGTTCCGACGTCAGTAGGATAAACCTCAAAAAAGCAGGTCACTTTCAACGGGTAATTAAAGTTCTTTCGCTGCCAAATGAATTTGTAGAAATTGTCACTGATGACGGAAAGTGTCGTAGACTTCTCTTCCAATTCTTCCAATTTTCGATTACGTTCCGCGCCGAAGGCTTTGAGAAACTTCAGTCCAATCTTGCCCCAGCCCGCCTTATTTGACCCTTCAAAAGGTGTACCGAGGAACACGACAGCGCGTGTATTTATGACAAGGGACTGGTTCTTCGCATTTAGACCTTAGTTTCTAGATAGCGTGTTTGCAACTACGAGTCCACCAAGGCTGTGGCACACGAAAATCATCGGTCGATTGGATGGCTATCCTCTAGTTAAACTCTTGCCTCTTAAGGCTGAGAACCCTGCTTACAGTCTCTGTTTTCCGTGCAAGCTAGCAATGGAAAGTAGAAGTTTCGCCGAATGATTATCAATTGATGTGCCATGAGGGCCTGTCGCCGATTTTGTGACGAAGTAGAAGTTGACGAAATCCGCATCATAACCGAATGATAGGATGCAATCAGCAGTCTCCCTACCGACAGCTTTGGATATGTTAACCCGACCTTAAGAGATGGCTGAGATCTTCGCTATGACACCAAACACGACTTTTGGGTACCGAAAGTCACTCAGTTTCGTTTGGAATATTGCACTCAAAGAGCTTGATGGACCTGCTCTCAAAATGATGCAAATATTATCCATGGGTTAGTGCCGATGGTGTGTACCAGAAGAGCTTTTCCGCGGGGACTTCTTAAAGCCAAATTTGAGCTTTCTCAAGACACTCCCAAGGCTTAGGTTTGTTTGTACACGGACATGATGTTAATAACTATCTAATTATGGACAATAGGTTCATACAGATGGTTGCGAGCTTGTCTCATTTTAGTTAAAGCTCGTCCATGTCTTCATGTAGATCTTCTTCGACCTTTGTGAACATCTCACCTGGCTCCGACAGGCCAGGCTCGTGCTTCCACCACAAGCAGGTAATGCCTGAGGAGTGAGTCTTTTATTAAGGACATGGAACTCAGCAGGCAAGCTTGGGTCTCGTGCCAGCTTCGCGGTCTCGTCATAGGTCAATCCCCAGTAGAAGCTATCTTCTTGGTAAGGTATAAGATCAAATGTATCAATCTTCCTGCCCATATATGACACCTGAACACCGTCTTTCGTCTGGTTGTATTGAATCCGAAGGAAAAAGTTTTCAACTCTGTTCCGATAAGACCCGATGTAATTGCTAAGACTCCTTGAAGGGGTTTCTATGGTTCGGCTCGCAGCAAGGCTTTTCTTGATATGTCTGAACCTTTATCAGTTTTGTTCAACGGTCATTCGAGCCAGCGAACGAGTCCTGCGCGTTTTGTAAGTTGTCGAACAGCGCTTCGACAAGCAATTCACCAATCCAGCGTGCGCCACCATTCAAAGACAGTTCTATAGTTGTTGGGCACGATATCTTTTATATTTCTATCAAACGCTTCTACAGGACAGTTATTACTACCCTTATTACAGTTATACAATATATAGGCCTATAGACAGTCGTAGAATGTATAAGTTGTCACTATGAGAATGTCGATGTTACTATTGAAGTCGTATCCATACTTTGCCTCGAATATCTAGGTATGATTGTCTAAGAAGATGATCTAGTTTAATCTGTAAATGTTTAGATGGTCAAGCACTAGTATTATATTTGTATAGGTAGAATAGCCTGAGACAGATATAGACATTGCTGTTTCTGTAATTAATGCTGCTATGACTGTCTTTGTTATCGTTACAATACTTGTGCTTATATCTATTGTGGAGTTACTCCTATTGTATATGCTTCTTTAAGGGTCTATGTTAGCAACAAATTGAGGACTGGAGATGTAAATGCTCAGATTGACCTACTTCTTTACATTGTTGACCGCGACAGATTTACCTATACCTTCTCCTATAGCAGCAACAATAATCACAACGACAAATAACTATTAATATGAAGATAACTCATATTGCACCGTATATCATTCAGTACTCTCCTATTGACAGGCAATACTAATACAGCCTTAGTTATTGCGGAACGACTTCAAGGCCTACCGGATCTGAATAGGGAATGGGAACTGGTGTTGCTGTTGTTCCCGTGTGGGTATAAGATGACTGTGGTAGATACGGCTCGTACTTAATCTACTGCGGCTGTTGCAGCTGGGCGATCTCTGGGCTGTCCATTTTGTTTGTATCAATTCAGACTTTGGAAGCGCTCTCCACAGTATCACGAACTCCTTGCTGTAGACTTGTCCAGTCTTCGTGTCCACCCCATTTCTTCAAAAGATGCTTCGCAAGCGAATCATCCGTCGTGGCCAAAATTTTGCCCATTTCTGGCAGATCTGCGGGTAACTGCTTATCTGGATAATCCTGCCGCATAATAGTCAAGACATCGTTCCAGTTGAAAGGAGCTGCCCAGGCCAAGATCCGCTCTCCCTTGACCTCGGAGTCAAGAAGAGCTGCAATGTGCAAAATAGCAACATCTTTAACATTGACATAGATAGCTGTGTTGCACAATTGTCAGCTTGCAGCCACATGTATATGGTATAAGAAGCGTAAACTATAGCTCATTATTGCTAAAGGCAACGGGACACTCACATGCGCGAATCGGAGCCACTTTACTCGTCTCGCCTCTCCACAACCGATCTACCCAGCCGGGGGAGGTCTTCAGATGTTTCTGGTTGAGAACAGTACCAATAGCCGTTGCTGGGCTTACGACGTTCACAGAGAAGCTAGGCTTCGCTTCGTCAACGAATGACCACAGTGCCTTCTCCGCAATAACCTTGCTAGCCATGTAGTTCATTGGTCCGCGCATCCGATCGTCTGGCGGCAGTGTCAAGGACAACCTAACAGCAACTTCATTCCATGTGTCTCGAGTGACATGGCCAGTAGCTCCAGGTGCAAGCATTATAGCAGCACCGACGGAAGAGGTGTAAACAAATCGGCTTACAGACAGTTCTCTGTTAGCTGCGTCGAGCAGAGATTGCAGGCCCTGAACAGTGGGATCGATCACGTTCTTGGGGTCTGAGTCGAAGCTCTGGATAGTGGCAACATGAACAACAGCCGACATACCCTTGATTGCGGCATCAAATGCCTTCGGCGCGGCCATATCCCCGACCGAGACAAGTTCGAGATCGTGGCTCGCGTGGTAAGACGCAAAGACTTCGTCGGTGAGCCATGAGGCCTGAGGGACACTTCGCACCGTACCCCGGACTTTGTAGCCTCGTGTAAGAAGCTCTCGCGTGATGTGCGCTGCGATGAAGCCAGTCATTCCAGTGACGAGAATCCAAGACCCTTTGGGGATGGTGGTTTTTGGTTCGGCCATGTCTCCTACTCTCTCATCTTAATACTTAGCAGTGGCTGCAATATCTATTTCTCAACAAAGGTGTGTTCACAAAATGATTTCTTCTTGCAAAACATTAATTACTGCCTATTTACGGTTCCTTTACCGGATTCGTCTCGCCGAGCAAGAATTGTGGATCTAATGATGACATATGAGAAACCACGTGCAAGAACACATGTAGTCTAGGAAATTAACAATGAGGAAAAATACGTTCACGCCAAAGATCATGCAATTGAAAGACTACCGTTTTGATGAAAAGGTTAGATTCGAAGAGTTCTGCAATTTCTCACAAAATCTCTATTGCATGTACCACCCCAATGGCTCTCCTTTCGCCTCTACCGGTCCCCTCCCGTCTCCGAAGAATCTAAAACGATTTCTCGTTCTATACTTATATCTGAAGTCCTCATAAAGCGGCTGTTTCATTATTTCCAAGAAGTGGTTGACCGAGCCAGGCCAGGGACCTGTAACCTTTCCGTCTGCTGTACCATTCTTATACCTGGTTCACATTATTAGCATGGCTTATACAAAGATTTCACGTAACAAAGTCTTACCAGCTGGTACACGCGCCTGTCCATGTCATGCCTTTCATTATTTCGTTTTTCCACTCGTCAAATTCAGCAGCTGCTTCATCTGAGACCACTGCTGAAGTAACGTCTTCCGTTTGGATCTTCTTGATAAAGGACAAAGCAAACTCTATCTGCCTCTCCATTGCTGCCACGAGAGATCCGTTGCTAATCGGAGCATTTGGTCCGATGGTCAAGAAATAGTTGGGAAACCCAGGGACTGCTACTGAGAGGTATGCAGCCGCGCCATCTTTACGCCACTTGTCTTGCAAGTTGACTTTGTTTAAACCAATGATGGGGAAGCGTGGAACAAAAGAGGTCTCGTAACCCGTTGCAGTTATAATAACATCAACTTCGTGAAGCTGGCCGTCATTACTTATGATACCGTTTGGCACGACCTTGAGGATGCCTGCAGTGACAACCTCGGCGTTCGGCTGAGTCAACGCCTCGAGATAGCCGTTTCCGGGAGTCACCCTGGTTTCAGTCATGTATCAGCCACTCTCTCTTGAGTCTTGCTAAAATGGGTTCAATCAGAGTTGCATTCTTACCGTCTGCAGCCCAATTCAAACTTCGGTATCAGCTTTTCTGTCAGGACTGGATCATACTTCAATCGCTTTCGCATATTTTCGGCAACGAATTCCCTCCCAATCTTTTGTGCTTGAGAATGCTTATAGAAGGAAGGAAACCTTGAGTTCATGCCATGTTCGATGTCTCTCCGATACTGCGTCAATTTTTCTGGATGATTGCGGAACTCCGTCCTCTGTTCTTCCGTGTATATGGTATCCCTACCATCCGAGGCAAGCTGCCAAGCAAACTCAGGAGCAACCCATGTAGGTGACCGGTTAAATGATATTAACTTGCGTGCCACTAAACTCACAGTCAGAATATAGCTCCGTGAGGATTGGGAAGGTAAAACACATACGTGGCTGAATCTCGGGGACAATTTGTATGCCTGATGCACCAGAACCGATCACGGCAACAGACTTGCCCTCTAGCTTAACGCTCTCGTCCCATTTTGCAGTATGTAGCAAAGTTCCTTTGAAGTCGTGCAAACCTTCAATATCCGGCCATTTCCAATTACTCCAATGCATTTAGCCCGTCGTTGCGAGAATGGGTGGTATATCATGAAACTCACTTCAATGGGCCACCTCCGTTGATGAGAACTTCGGCCGTGTCAACAAATTTTTGGCCGGTTCCTAGATTTTCCACTTCGACCTTCCACACTTGTTCATCTTCGTTCCATTCAGCTCCAGCGACCTGGTGCTTGAACTTCGTATGCTCATACACTTCGTACTCTTCTGCCAGCTTTTTGTACCACTTCCAAATCTCCTCCCCACTGGCATAAAATCGGCTCCAGTCAGGATTGCCTCTCCAGGTGTAAGTATATCCATGTGCGGGCACATCACATGAGACACCAGGGTAACGTGACTCCAGCCATGTGCCCCCTACTTCATGATTCTTCTCATAGATTGTATAAGACAGCTTCTCGATTTGGTTCGCTTTGTATGCGAAAGCAATGCCAGAAATACCTGCTCCAATGTAGATGACTCGAATTGGCTTTGGCTCATGAACATAGTTGGAAGCAACAATATCACTCTCATTTAGAGGTAACAAAGCACTTATTGGTGGTGATACTGGTGACTCGACCACTTTCGATGAGTGGCCATTGGTGCCATTAACGCCATTGACTCCATTTACTTGGGCCATCTTGATGATCACACAATGCAGTCAACTCTCGACGGCGGAACGAAAACGAAGAAGGTGGTATTAATTTTTTTGCAGTGTAATTACCGCTCGGCATTGGCACTAATAGCACAACCAAAAGCAAAAGTGTACGGCCCGAGTATGGATGTCTATCAATCCAAGACCGTATGTGCCTTGAAATGGGCTTTCGGATTTCCAACGCCGAATAGGGTCTTTCGACTTCGACACCATGATGGCACCATTGAACCGACTGCCCCTCAAAGCACTGACATTGGTTGCCACTGTGCACGCGTTATCGCTACAATCGACCCAGTTCTCATATCTACGCCGCTTGAGAATAAGCACTTCCTAAAAGAGCATCACCGAGCAAGCTTCAAGCCACGGTGGAGCGTCACTGCAGGTCCGGCGATACTTTGTAGACTTAGTGTGGGGTCGAAAGGCCTGTATGCTGTCAAAAAATACGGGAATATCGCGGGCACTAAGTCTGGGCGCTGCCTCGACCACCAGCGATGGGATTGCGCCAGAGCACCCTTGTATCACGATCAAGGTACCAGTAGGCTAGGCTAGTGGCTTCGAGATGGGAGGACACGATATTGAGTGATGCTTAGTGTGAGTTATGAACTTTTCACAGCTAAATTGTGGTCCATGAGTCGAGGCAAATTCATCAAAAGATCTCGAATGGCTTCACCATACTACCGCGCAGGTAGAGGTGCCCTTAGCGTGAATTGGGCGACTCAACGACTCCTTCATGCTTCTTATGGCTGCACGTCAGGCATAATCAGGCTTGGAGTGCTGCTGTCAGCACTGTAAATGAAGTACATCATCATGAACCCGAGGGCGTGGAACCGGACTGCTAGCAGCGGCACTTTACGATCAGGTGCATCACCCGAAATCACTATGAGAAACCCCACTATCTCAGTGTTTCGGACGGACAGAATCACTGTAAGCAGACTACAGTTTAATCTACATCTTCAAAAAGACAAGTGGCAGAGAACGGTGACATTGTCGTCGAAGAACGAATTGTCTCAGCTGCGCAGCCAGCGTTCAATTTTGTGACCAAGTCATAGGCTATTGTAATATTGCGCTGGCCAGACCAGTTGGCCAAACATGTGTAAGATCTATTGCTGTTTTCTCTTGATCGTCCCACAAAGGATAGTCCACATATCCCTCCTTCTTGCCAACTTCGTAGAACAAGTCTCGAACATATCGAGTCACTGGCAGCAATCGTTGGATCCTCAGCGGTAGATCGGGGTTGCTCACAAACGTTCGCCCAAATGCAACCAACGCCTCCCGACCTTTGTCCTTCTCGCTGTCAACTTTCTCCCTCGACGAATGAGCGTTATATCCACCCGCGAATATGATAGGCGATGTTTTACCCCATATGTCGGCAAGAAACTCCACGGACTCCGAGCCAGGGACATCTAAAGGCCCCTGAACTCTGCTCTCGATCACGTGTATGTAGCTCAGACGAAGTTCCTTCAAGGACTTCGCAAGCGCCGTAAACTGAGTTATAGGGTCGTCCATACGCATTCCATGATGCCGGCTCCAAGGACTGAGACGATAGCCCACGCGTTCTGATCCAATCGCATCGGACACGGCTTTGGCCACAGCGATAGGAAAGCGACATCGCTTCTCAACGCTTCCTCCCCATTCATCTTGCCGGTTATTGCTGACATCTTGCGTAAACTGGTCAAGAAGATAACCATTCGCGCCGTGCAGTTCAATACCGTCAAAACCAGCTTCTACGGCATTTCGAGCAGCACTGCTAAATTCGGAAATACATGCTTGGATCTCATCCTCGGTCAAGGATCGCGGTACAGGTGAATCTGGTCCAACTGGTATATTGCCGCTTGAGATGACCTCAGCGCCTCGTTTGACAGCACCGGGTCTTGCTGCTCGACCGCACATCCATAATTGCGCATAGATGAAACAACCCTTGTCATGGACCGTCTTAGTAATAGGCTTCCATGCTTCGATTTGTTCCTTGTTCCAGAGACCAGGGGTATTTGGAAGAGATGCAGAACGAGGAGACACCGCAGTGGCTTCACTGATGATGAAAGTTCCTGGTACTGAAGCACGCTGTCTATAGTATTCAATCATCAAAGGAGAAGGAACGAAGTCGTCAGCAGCGCGGCGCCGGGTCATCGGGGCCATAACGACCCGATGTGACAGCGACGCATGGCCGACTTGGACTGGTGAGAAGAGGCTGCTTGCATCCATGGTTGTGGATTGGTATAATTCGTCCCAAATGGTTATCAGTCACAGGCTTTTACTTTTCTAGGCAGGGCTGATATCGAGGTCTTTCATCACCCACACCCCCTTCGGGGAAGCTCAATTTGGGTTGGTCTCGCGAGCCAGACCTCGTGGCGTGAAGTGGATCCACCTACTCGTCTCTCCACTGAAACGATTCGGATCCGATCTGGGTTAAAGCTTCGTCCCCAAGGCCAAAGAAATCCACCCTACTAAAGTCAACATTCATTCGAATGCTCTTGTATTATTGGTAGCATACCATTGGTCAACGTTTAGGCTATCAGGCAGGCCAGTTCCCAGAGACTGGTCAATATCTGGTGACATGTCGTCGAGCATATAGTGTGTTTGTGGTGTAAACCGGCCGAGGCTGCTTGACGAGTGTCCAAAACTGGGCACATCTACACTGCTCCCATCGTAGTAGAAGTCGGTCGCAAGAAGCCTGTAGGGATATTCGCTATTAGTCACGCTACTCGAAGTTGAGGGTAGCCTAGCCTCTGGATATGCTCACTGCTTCATGTAGGCGTTTGTGATATCGCTGGTTACGTGCAACCCTGGCAAAGGGGAATGCCACTGTCCGCCGAAGATTGATTTGGATCTGCTGTTGCTGACATGCATATGGGCTTGCAATGATTCGAAAAGACGATGTATGAAAGATGCAGCGACCCAGAGTTGGCTAAAGTCGTACAGCACATTTAAGCATAAGCTATATTTATGCTGCGCGTCTCTCCGAACATCAGCGTTCAGAGACTGTCCCTCTATAAGAAAGAAGATAAGGCAATTGAAAATGGAGTTAGTACTATTAATATTAGTCAACATTTACCCCTTCTAAGGAACATGAAACTGCTCTTCTCTTACAGTTGCCCTGTACATCTCAAGACTTGGCCATGTGCTCGGACATTGCGCACAATCTTGCTCACCATTGTTGCCGCAGCGATGCCACGGGCTTGACAGTATTGGCGTTCCGCAACTGCACGACCGCTCGTAGCTCTCGATACAGACTTCTCTCGAAACCGCAACATGATATTGGTGCTGGATTCATGTTAGAATTCTTGCCTGACAACGAGAATCATGAGTACTCAGGTACTAACTAATATAATATGTGTAAGAAGGCAGGCCAGAATGTATGACCTTGAATGTTATTGACATCGTATTGAACTGCCTCCGGAAGTCTATCGAGCCAATCTTTGCAGAGGATAAGACCTTGATCCTGATAATCGTCGACATACCAACTTCTGTCTGCTTTTGCGCCAGGCGGCACTGTGTTTTGTCTGTATGAATTCTCTCGCTGGCTGATCGAACCCGTCATATGCGGCTGTAGCCGCTGTCGAATGAAGTGACCGCAGTGAATATGATGAAGAGCCTCCATGACTTTGATCTGTTGCATGAAGAACCTTATTTCGGTCTCGGAATGTGGATACCTAGGGGTATGATCTGACCCAACGGGCTCTTCGTTAAAATCGTCTGGACTCAGGGGAGGTATATCAAAGTCAAGTAGTGATAGCGTGCATGGAAGGCCATGGGCAACGGATACCCCAATATCGCGGTTCTGATTTGTGGTGTTAGAATTATTCCTGCCACGCAATTTCAGAAGGTTTCTCACAAAGCAGCTCCACCAAGTGCGTTTCCACACCCTAAGAAGCACACGATCTGTTTGCGGATAATGATCCCTGGCGCAACATGTTAGCTAGTGACATGCTTGGTTGTTATTGGTTGCTTATTCTACCATCTATGCATCCCAATGCTCTGCGCAGTGTTGATAGCATCAACGGCACAGGACCTCATATTCCTTCCGCCATCATCTTTCTTATCCCACCACCAGGTAATGAGCAAGAGCGCCTGAATACGTTTCAACTTATCGGGTTCGTGACCAGTGTCCAACAGCGCCTATAATTTTTAAGTCAGCATTCAAGCCCGTCTTAACGTTGCCGTGCTGTGACTTAGAATAAATAGGTCTATGAGTTCAGGGCCTACCTTTGCCGCCTTGTAGAACCGTTGTGCACTCATGTGATTTGTCCCCTTATGATCCAAAAGAGCGGCATTGCGACATGCTCGGGATCCTGATGTAAATACCGCAAACAAGAGCAATCGGCTCGGCATGCGATGGTTGTGAAAGTCTGACAGAAATTCCGTTTTGTTTATAACCGGGGCGGTAGGGTGGACTTCAGTGAAATGGGCATTGATCAGTTCTTCTTGAAGATCCCTTGGAGGGAGATCAAAAGCACCCTTGGCTTTCAGAAGCTCTAAATCAGCCGCGTCGAGACTCGAGACTTCGTCCTCTATATCTAGAGTTGGCCGTGTTGCCATCTCAACTTGAAGTTGTCGGACGGGACTGTACTGAGACGGCCCTGATAATTCGTTTCCATCGTGATGTTCCTGACCAAAGTCTGTAGCCGAGATATTGTCATGATGCTTGAATGCTGGTGCATATGACCCCAGAGTATCTTCGATGTATGCTTCGAACCGATCTAGCATTGGCCTTGGCTTTAGGATCGGGCTATGGACCACAGAGACAGCACCGGTATGAGAATATCTGGACGAGTCAAGGCCTCTGTGATCGATGCTGTCGGCAATCTCCATGACATCTTTCTCTCGGAGAGGCAATGTAGAAGAGATATCGTCTGCTCGTGCGCTATGCAAGTCTCTTGGCAACATGGCTGATTCACCTATGGTAGGTACAGGTGGTGTTTGCATGATCATGGGGGTTGGCTGTGATGCCAAAGAGAGACTATACAGGCATGTTAGTTTGTATTGTC